TGAAAACTGATGCTTCAATGATGCTGTCAATATGATGTCTCAATTGATATCAGCCCATTTTAGTGTTTAACTATAAAATTGAATATCTGTTGGACGCAACTATAAAATGGATTACTATTGAGTCATAATGACTGACAATATTTGGTCAACAAACCAGATATTTTGCTGGTTGAAAATGTTAAAAAAAAAAAAACCACAGGGTTTTATTGATAGTGACATTCAACTAAGTGGAACTGGCTCAATAAAATATGCAAAGAAGATAAATATAGGTTGTGTATTAGTCTAGCAAAAGGGCTTAAAAACGTGCAATTTCAAAAACATCAAAGTAAAGACAACTATCTTATAGAATAGCTAAACATATTTGAAAAATAGGAATTCATATGGTGCCATCAATTCTATATAAAGTTGACATTTAAGAGAGATCCCTTTGGCAAAATTATTATAATATATTTGGTTCAAAGCACATGCTATTATAAAATAAAATAACTATATTACTCTAGGGCAAAAAGGAAGTCCAATTTCTCAATTCAACAGATGCTGACTGAAAACGTATTATATTCTTACAACTAGGTAAAAACAAACATGAAGGAAAGTGATGTTTTAAAATAAATAAATAAATAAATAAGAGAGTCGGCCAATGTTTACTCAGGGATTAGCAAATTCCCATCATTTTCCAAGGGCAGCTAACAAGGATTTCACCCTACTAATTTGCTCCAGAAGGCAGATGCTTCTGCCTTACAGAGCTAGAATTGAAGAATAAAATAACCCTTGGGTTTCCAGAGCATTTAAACAACTCAGAATGCCTTCAGAATTATCAGCACATTTAACATGTTAACAATCCAATCAGACAGGAAAGAATTTATCTTCTAAGTCAGGATTTCCCAAAGTATGTTCCACAGTAAGGTGGTCCCTTCAGGGCACAATTTGAAAAGCAGTTAGGCCAGTATTTCCAGAGACACTACATTCCATGTTGCATTTCCCCTCTTGGGCATTTGATATTAAAGGTTTAGAATATTCCTGCCATCAATACAACTCTTTTGCTTTATCCCAGCAGGCCCCGAATTCTGGAACTCATTTCTCCTTAGAACACTTCAAGTACACCGAATTCTCTTGATTTTCCACTACCTCACTGGTCACTTCTTCTCCGTCTCTTACGGAGTCCTTCTCTTCTAGACCCTACCTTGAAGCGCCCCAGGGTTCAGTCCTTGTTTCTCTTTTCTTCTCTATCCTCTCTAATTTGGTGACCTCCTACACTCAAATGATTGTAAATACCATCTGATGCCTACAACTTGCAAATTTATATCTACAGTCCAAATCATGATCCTGAACTCCAGGCCCAAATAACAAATTTCTACAGACTTTTTTTTTTTTTTTTTGGAAAGACAAACTGAAGTCTTGTTCTTCCTCATCAAAGCTGCTCTATATGTAATCCCTCCATGCACTCAAAACAAATGTCATTCTTCTAATGCTCTGCTAGAAACCTTAAAGGTATCCTTTACTCTTCTCTCTCGTATCCCACATTTAATCCACAGGAAATCTCATGAGCTCAACCTTCAAAATATATCCAGAAGCTTAAAAGTTCCTGCCACTTCCTGTGCTGTCATCCTGGCTCAAGTGGTCATCTTCTATCACCTGGTTACTGCAATAAACTCATTCTTCTTCTTCACTCCCTTTCTCAACACAGTTGCCACAGTTATCCACTTAAAAGTCAGAGAATGTCATATCTATGTGATAACGCCCCAACCCAATGCCTCCCCATTTCATTCATTATGGTCCCCAAGGCCCTGAGATCTACTCCCCATTACTTCTTTAATCTCATTCCCTATATTCTCACAGATCCCTTCCACTCAGACCTCCTGACTGTACCGTGAACAGTCCAGACATGCTCTCATCTGATAGTCTTTGCAATGGAGGTACCCTGTGGCTACAATGCCCTTCCCCAGAAATTAAGTGGCTTACCAGCTCCTAGTTTCAAGTCTTGTTCAAATGTCACATTCTCAACAATGCTTATCCTGACTTGCATTTAAAATTGTGTCCCAACCTCTGACCCTTTAGATCCCCAATGCTCTACCCTGCTCTGTCACTGCTCCTTGGCACTTATCATCTTCTAATATAATATATAATTTACTAACTGCCGCTCACCACAGAATGTAACCTCTAAGAGAGATTTTTTTATTAGTTTTATCCACTGATGTATCCCAAGCATCTAGAAATGTTCTTGACACATAACAGGTGTTCAATAAAATATTGTTTGAATAAATAAATGTAACATTTGACCATAGACAATAGAGAATTATTGTGTAATATTTAATATTTGTCATTTTCTCCTTGGTATTTTGGCCAAAGTTTGATGAGGTGAAAAAAAGACAACATTAGAAGGATGACTTTTCCTGACAGAAATGATTTTATTATCTGCCACAATTTTTTTTTTAGATTTCTGTAAATTAAATAGGTAAGCTTTAATTCTCATTGAATTATATAGCCAAAATAAACATCAATACATCTAAGAACCTGACTATACAATCCTAACCCTGATTACACATCTGAATCACCTTGGAATTTTTATAAGCATACATAATCCATGGCCCATTTCAGTGGTACAGTTCCTTACGGCACTATTCCATAGAAGCGTTCACCACTGGAGAATCAGTGTTTGGATTTACACTGACATTAATTAGGATCATATAAAACATTTAATTGCCTCTTACTCTTATATAATATGTAAGTCAAATGTTCACTATTTTCCATAATTTCATAGTTTAATTGCCTGTTCTTTCAATTCTTCCAATATTCACCTAAACTTTCCTCATTGAAATTTACACCACTTATAAGGATAGAATGTATAAAGAAGAAATACCAATAGAAATGCTTACATTAATTTCAGGCTTTTCTTAAAATATTATTCATAAAATAATGCTTAATTGTGCAAAACATTCACTGATACAGGTAGGAGTATAATTAAGTTTAAAGAACTATGTATTATAAATATTTCTACTTGTTTTATGATATATTGTAAAATCTAATTAATTGACATCAATTTTGGGAATGCATGTTTGATTTATAAAATGTTACTTAATTATTTTAAACTACATATATTATAGTATTCCTTTATAAATTCTTTAAATACTTATTAAAGGCATTGCTTCAATGAATAGATAAGATATAATTATAGCTAGCATTCCAACAATTTAAAATAAGTTGGATAAAATAAAATACGTGACATCACTTTGTAAAAACTTTCAAGGTGTTATCCTCATTTAATAAATGTATACAAGAGAAAGTTTCAAAATACCAGGAAGCAGTTTGTTTTCTTAAACTGTATTATATATTCTCTATGAAACATTATTTATTCATTTGTTTAAAAAGTTCCTCTTGAATGACTAAGAAAGATAAAAAACTTCAAATGGTCATAAGTTCTTAATGAAATAAGAATTAATGAACTGGTATATTTTAAATTTCAAAGTCTACTTTTTAGTCATAGTTATAAAATGGGGATATGCTACACCTAATGAACTTGAATAACTATCTTTTTTTCAATCATAATAATAATAATAATACCAACAGGAATCATCTGCACACAAAATTATGTAAAACAAATTAGATTGCCAGTTTTCAACTATCTGCCACTAAACCAAGCTATGAAGTAACCAATTCCACACCCACATAGAGACAAGAATAATCATAATCCACACGCAGAGAACAAAAAACTTACTAGCTAAAGTTTTGAAAAACCAAGTAAAATAAAAAAATTCAGGAGTTCCTCTGAAAGAATGCATATGCCAGGTAATTATCAAGAATCATAAAGCAAGAAAGGGAATCTAGTAGGGTCCTTGGTAGCAGATGGTAAGATCCTTTTTATCTCATAGCATAGTAAATGCAGAGAAAAAATATGTAATTCATTAACACATTATAATGCGTAGATTAGTACGGTTCAATTAATACCAAAAATAGCAACAACCACAACATTTTAAATAATTCATATTAATTTCCACATTTATCACATTTTCAAATATAGCCCTTTTTTCCTATGGAGACATTTGAATTCATTTATCAATCAATCTATACTATTCAGAACCACGTAAACTTAAAAATTACTAAAATCTCAACCGTAGCATCATTATTTATAATAGTTCTTATGGACTACATCCAGCTACCCACAGAAAAAGCCAAGGATATAGCTCAGGCTTTTTCAATCTTGGCACTACTGACATTTTGGGTTTGAATGTGAGGGGAGGGGCTGTCCTGTGCATTGCAGGTTGTTTAGCGGCATCACCAGCCTCTACCCACTAGATAACAATAGATAGCACTTGCTAGCTGTGATACCCAAAAATCTCTGGAAACATTGGGAAATGTCTCCTAGGGTGACAAAACTGCCCCTTGGTGAGAAACACCACCATCAGATGAAAGGAAGAAAGAAATGAAAGGACAAAGGGAGGGGAAGAGGGAGGTAGGGAAAGTATTTACACTAGGCATTCTTAATCACTTAATAAAACTATATAAAATAAAAGTTGAATTTCTAGTTGGTGGATTTAAATGTGTTTATTGTAGTTTAAGGATATTTATAAGAAAAAAACTTTTTCAAATAAAATCAATATTTTCCATTGTGAAAACAATAAACACATCTCAGATAAATAAGATTCTATTATTCTTAAGAAGAAGAAAAAAGAGTAAAGAGCTTTCTTCTTATTTCTTACGTCTATCTTAAGAATAACACCCTACCTTCCTGCTGTCTCCCAGGAATAAAAACAATTGCAGTCTTTGTTTTCAGTTTTGAAGGCAAGAGAAGAGCTTTTTCCTCTGACTCTACAGGTGGTTCCTGAAAGTGCTCTCCAGGTGACCTGAAGGTGACTGACAAGTCTATTTTGCATTTACAAACAAGTTTAATAGGACCTGCATATTAACAAGAGTAATAATTTGTTATAGGAAACCAGAATCAATTTTTGTATTCACTAATTGCCTATATACTACTAAGCTTCTCATTTGATTACTCTTTGGCTTACCATAGATGTAACTGATCGTGCATCTTCTTCATAATTTATTACTGGAGGTGGCTCTTTTCCATCATTTTCTTGCACTTTTTGCTCTAGCAATTCTTTCTGTGCTGTAAACTTTGCCTCAGTGCACCTCAGTTGCTGCACTGACTGTTTCAGCTCTTCAAGTGTCTGTTTTTGGCTTATCAGAAGCACAATACTAAAAAAAGAACACATTGAATATAAATTATTTTGACTTCTTTAAGAAATACAGACTTTAAAGAAACAAATATATATATATATATGCTTCTGTTTTCTTTCATTTTCATCTTTATGAATCCTACACAATCAGAACAATTATGAAATTAAACAGATTTTGAGTCATCACATAGTTAAATGTTCACATTAAAAAAAATGGAAGAAAATGTTTGGAAGTAAAAACCAAATTCAAGATGCTTTCAAATATACTATGATCTATGGCATTCATTTTATTTTACAACTAAACCATCTACCTCACAGAGTACAGACAATGAAATCCAGGAACGTAGGGCCCAAAATGAATTAACAACACTGAAGCAGAATCTTAATTTATTTCATATCTCAAATGGAATATAGCAAGTCAGATCTGTGCTGAGAGTAAAATAAATCAAATCAAGGTGACAACCTGGAACCAAGTTGTGTGTACGTTGTGAAGGTGTGTGCTTAGAGTTGGGGAAAGATGTTCCGAGAGGACTGAGGGCTGAGATGCGATTAAGGGAATGAGCAGAAGATAAATCCCCAAATCTCTCCAATGCCTCCACTATGAAGGCAAGAGACTTCACAATCCTTCCTTTAGAGAACTACCCAGGCCATATGTTGCCTTATTGTGACTTTTTAATCCCTTGGAGGCTGCCCCTGGTGGGAGTTTCATCTAATTCACCCATATTAAAAGCCACAAAAGCAAAACAAACAAACAAAAACAACCAGGTAGTGGTGGCAGGAAACACTGCTGGAAACACTGTCATACATAGTGAATTGATATCTTACAGAACTGTGCCATACACCACTGAAAATACGTTATTAATATGTAAGAGACCATAGATTGTCAGGGAAACCTTCAAAGTTGGAGAATAAAGTCAGAATGTTACCTTCTTAAACTGGAACTTTAAAAAATCAACATAAACTGAATAATCATAAACAGAAGGAACCCATACTAAGAGGGGTTTATTTATAAATATGATGCTGATTGATAATTTAAAACTCAATTGCAATCAAATTGAGCAGGGGCAGCCTCATTGGGTGCTATAAAGAAAGCTATAATCTCAATTATATTGCAATGACTTTCAGGTGAGTATCCTAACAAAAAGAACTGAGTGAAATTTTGGAAAAGTGGAACTAAGAGTAGGATTATTTTTAAGAAAGACGTAGCAATGTTCAAAAGATAAATCATTCTAACCAGTGGAGTTAATGGCAGAAGTAATAGAAAGAGATATACAATACTGTCAGCTCACGAACCCTTCCCAAGTAAAATCATCACGGCATGGTGGAAAGCGTGTAATTATATTGAATTAGGAAAGGTTAAACTTCATGAAGTTTATGAACTTTATGAACCCTTTGCTTTTTTTAATCTTCAGTTTTATCACTGGAAAATTGCTAGTGATAATACCTATTCGGTAAGGGTTGCTCTAATAATTCAATGTTAATATTTTAAAAATCATTAGCACAGTGCCTGCCATAAAGTAAGAATTCAGTAAATGGCAATTATCGTTTATATCATCATTCAAAAATCTGTGACCTGTGATCTAAATCCACACAGATTTTAAGATAAATTCATACTTGCTTGCTTAGGTGGTAACTCCCTTTTCATAATAAATTGGTTATGATTTTCTTTATTTCTCATTGAACCTCCTCAGAGAAAGCTGATTTTTAAAACAATCACCTTTGTGAACATAAATTCATAAGGACTAAGTCATGGAAAAGATTATATCCACATGAACCTAAAACTTCCTGAGGGTTTCTTCTTTGCATTTCCTAGTTACCAAAAGAATCACAATGACAATAGTATAAACATCAATTTAAAATGTAAGATGGCAAAAAACACATTTTCTTACTTTGTGAGGGGTGTAAAGGATAACTATTGCATTGTTCAGTACACCAGAAACTAATAAAAAAACAAAACAAACATTTTCATGGATATCTGCAAAATTATTCCAAAAAAAAGGCGAATGATTTCACAAATGTGGACAAAATCAAGAGGGAAGTATACTTGAAAATAATAACCTTCTACAACCATTACTATTACCAGTAGTCTTGCAAACAAATTTCATAAAGACTAACAAAAAAAAGTTAAAAAAAATTTTTTTAAAAGGATGAAGTGGTAGACTACATCAAACTAAAAAGCTTCTACACAGCAAAAGAAACCATAAACAAAAAGGTAACCTAACAAATTGGAGAAGATATAAAACTGAAAGCAACAAGCGAACAAACAAGACCAACAATCTCATAGACACAGACCACAGTGTGGTGATTACCAGAGGGAAAGGGATGGAGAATGCAGAGGGTAAAGGAGGTCAAATATATGATGACAGGAAAAGACTAGACTTGCAGTGGTGAGCACACAATGCAATATACAGAAGACGTATTATAGAATTGTACACTTGAAACCTATATAATTATTAACCAATGTTACCCCAATAAATTTAATTTTTTTAAAAAGAATGAAATGACAAATAAGGTAAAATAATTGCAAAAATAGTAAATATTAACTGAACACCTGAACAAAAATATTTAAAACCTATTTATGTGGAAAAAACATATTGGGTTGTCAGAAAAGTCATGACGTATTTTGTCTGTTTTTCAAAGGTCATTTATTTCTATAAAGAACAAAGATCAATCAATGATATATTGCCTGTTTTGTTCGATAACCTTTTGCCATTTTTCAGTGAGCTTCATAATTCCTCGTTCATAGAAGGACCTGTTTTTATTTGCGAAAAAACTGAACAAGGTACTGATTTACAGCTTCATCTGAACTGAACGCTATACCATGCAAGGAGTTTTGAAGAGAGCGAAACAAGTGGAAGTCTGATGGCACAAGGTCAGACGAGTATGGTGGGTGTGGCAACACATCCCATCCAAACTCCAGTAATTTTTGATGGGTGATCAAACTTGTGTGTGGTCTCGCAATGTAGCAATAGAATACGACTCCTTTACAATTAACAAGCTCTGGATGTTTCTGCATGATGTTTGAGAACCACTGCTCTAGAACCTGGAAAAAGCAAAGAAGCAGATTCTCCCCAAGAGTCTCCAGAATACATCAGCCCTATCAACACCTTAGTTTGAGGCCCATAAGGCTCATTTCCAACTTTTGTTCTTCAGAAACGTAAGAGAAAACAATTGTGTTGTTTTAAGTTACCAAGTTTGTGGCAATTTTTTAAAGCAGCAAGAGGACACCAATACAAACCTGAAAAGAGATCATACCATTTTCAGTTCGTTTTAAATGGTTGAACTGAAGGGTTGTTATAGTTAAGCCATAACAACTGAAACTATAAATTTAAGAGAAAACAATAAAAGAATCAGAAGCATTATTCAGCCAGGAAAAGAATGACTGTGGGTTAAATAAGGGATGTGAATAAGTTAGTTTTAGCTTCATTAAGTACTAAAAAAATAAGGAAAAAATTAAACTATTATAGAAAGTTGAAATTTAAAAGGAAGATTTTACTTCATATTACTTAGAGGAAGAGCTCTATTTTTAAACATAACTTGTCATGGTGTGTACAATCTCTATGCATTACTATTATTTCACCTTTATTTTACCCTGGATATAAATGGGATCTTCCAAAATTATTAAAACCAGGGAGAAAATATATATTTTCAAAAAACGGTACTGGAACAATAGGACTTCCATATGCAAAAATGAATCTAGACACAGACCTTACACCATTCACAAAAATTAACTCAAAATGGATCACAGGCCTACATGTAAGACACAAAACTGTAAGATATCTAGAGGATAACATAGGAGAATATCTATATGACCTTGGGTTCGGTGATGACTTTTTAGATACAACACCAAAGGCACAATCCATGAAAGAAATAATTGATAAGTCGGACTTCATCAAAATTAAAAACTTCTGCACTGTGAAAGACAATGTCAAGAGAACAAGAAGAAAAGCCATAGACTGGGTGAAAATATTTGCAAAAGACACTTTTGATAAAGTACTGTTATCTAAAATATACAAAGATCTCTTAAATGTCAGCAATAAGAAAAACAACCTGATTAAAAATTGTGCCAACGACTTTAACAGACACTGAAGAAAAAAAGATATACAGATTGCAAATGAGCACATGAAAAGGTGCTCCACGTCATATGTCATCAGAAAACTGCAAATTAAAGCAACTATGAAGATACCCCTGCACACTTATGAGAATGGCTGAACATTGGAACACTGACAACACCAAATGCTGGTGAGAATGTGGATCGACAGGAACTCTCATTCATTGCTGGTGGGAATGCAGAATAGTACAGCCACTTTGGAAGACAGTTTGGCAGTTTCTTATAAAACTAAACATACTCTTACCACAGGATCCAGCAATCACACTCCTTGGTAAATATTCAAAGAAGCTGAAAATATGTTCACACAAAAGCCCACAAAGATGTTTATATCTGCTTTATTCATACTGGCCATTTTTGGAAGGTACCAAGATGTCCACTTGGTACCAAGATGTCCACTAGTTGAATAAATGAACTGTGGTACATCTACCAGACAATGGAATATTACTCAGCACTCCAAAGAAATGATCTACCAAGCCATGAAAAGACATGGGGGAAACTTTGCATATTATTAAGTAAAAGAAGCGAATCTAAAAACGCTGCATAATGTATGATTCTAACTAAATGACAGAAAAGCCAAAACCATAGAGACAGTAAAAAGCTCAGTGGTTGCCAGTAGTTGAGGACGAGGGTAGGAATGAATAGTGGATGGAGCACAGAGGAGTTTCAGCAAAAAATAATCTGTATTATACCATAATGAATAGATACCTGTCATTACACATTTGTCCAAGCCCACAAAATAAACACTGCCAAGAGTGAAACCCAATGTAAATTATGAACTTTAAATGATAATTAAAAAAAAAAAAGATAAGGTATTACTGTATGTTTAGCAATTGTAACAAATATAACACTGGTGGACAAAGTGATAATGGGGGAGGCTGTGTGTATGCAGGGGTGGGGGTATATGGGAA